CAGTGCTTTTTAAGCCCTCCCGTGCATCGACCCACTCACCCATCAGAAATAGGACATAGTTGTCAAGTTATCATAGCAAAAACATATACATACATATGTGTGGGTGTGCGTGTGTATGTGTGTATGTGGGTGTATGTATGTGTGGGCGAATCCCATTTAGTCCCACTTAAACTAGCCCCTGTGATTACCAAACACGGTCCAATCCAGTGAAGGTTAGTGAATCCAAATAAATACACCTTAAAAGTACAACACGAGCATGTCCATGTTCATTTATTTCAAAGTTGGCGTAGAACAACATGAACCCAGATCTTCTCCGAATCCCAAAAAACTGAGCTTAAGGATCAAATATCCAGACCATTGAAATTTGATTCAATAGCTACAATTATTATAACTTTTAGAGGGTCCCTTGTTTGTAACCGTTGGATCAAATTTCAACGGTCCAAATTATTTGATCCTTAGATTTTTTTATTTTTTTAGATCCAAAAAGAATCTGGATTCGAACAACATAATCTTTGGTGGGTCAAGTCAAGCAAGACGCACACTTTTAATTTGATATTAGTAGTGTCGTACATAAGTGATGGGCAGCCTTACACGAGCCCATTGTCAGTTGGGCCAGCCTGAGGGTCTAGCTATTCTTATGTGTATGCATAAGTGTGGAGTCCACTGTAGTTAAAACGGTCTTAGGCCTAGGCGAAAAAAGTGAGCGTGGTACCGTATATTGGACTATATAGAAATCGAACTTCCACAATGTGCTGAAAAATTTAAGTGTGATATTAATTTGTTGAACTCATCAGTATGGTATTAATATATCGAACTCGTATTAGTGTAGCAGTAGTGTTAAAAATTAAAATCAAGATGCCTGATTCCTAGTGTAAGTATCACACTCACATGAACCATTATGGAAATGCCTTAATGATAGAAATTAAACAAATTTTGCTTACAACCCAATAGAATTCTCTAGACACCTGTATTCTAATTTACTTGGGCCGTTTCCATTAAGTAACATTTCTAACCCAATATTGCCTTGGGAAAATTTGTTTTGCACTAATTTGCATCTCTGGACAGTACATTTGATTAATTCAGACACATCAATAATCAAACACAATACTGTAGGCGATGGTAAACTTCTGCGACGAGTTTTTTAATTTATTGTACAACGAAAATTCTATTGTGTGGAAATTTTTTCATTGATATTCAAACATTTGTAACACATGATATATTTAATTAGACAATACATATCACTCAACGTATCACGTGATAGAAAAATCTTCCAATTTTTCTTTGTCTTGGTCACATTTTAAACAGAAGTGGTCTGGAAGAGTAATGTTATTCATACCATGTTTTTTTTACCATATTTCTATACCAACTTAGGTGCCATCTGATATGGACAGCCACATCATTTGAAAAATTTGCAAAACCCAAGGAAATGAAGGAGAAAGACTCCTCGTATACCACAATTATCATTGAATTAACTAATTTTTCTTAATTATTAGTTTATTAAATAATGAACTAAATTAAAAAATCTTATTAATTCAAATAAAGTGGCTGTCCACATCAAATGCCACCTAAGATGGTATGAAAATGTGGTACAAAAATATAGTATGAATAACATTACTTGGTCTGAAATACTTGATTAGTACTTGTGCCATATCATTTCCATTAAAATATATAATTTACAGCTCTAATAGCGCGTTTACTAATCCGTAATCAAATTGAGAGGAATTGAATTGAGAAGGAATTGAAATGAGGTGGAATCAGAATCAAATTCATGTTGAAGTTGTTTACTAAAACTGTTCGGAATCGGAATACAATTCTATAAAGCTGTTTACTAATTCAGCAGAATCAGAATATAGACCAGTATGATTACTAAAATGTCCTTGTCTCAAATCAAATATTTTATGTATTTTTTTAATAAAATTTGATATAGTATATAATAGTAAGAAAAAATTAAATTGCTTTTTTATTTCATAGACATACTAAAATGATTTTGTTTAATTTTTTTTTTATAAATTTAAGTATTGACTTTAATATCTAAATTTTCTCGCTCAAGTTGTAGTTTTTTCTCTTCGGCATATGTATGGAGTTGTGCATAATGTGAATGAGCATAGAATTATGCTTAATGAGCTAGAAGGACATGTAAAGAAATTGTTAGGAGCATTTTTAGAAAAATAAGTCTAGGGTTAAAAGGATAATCTTGGAAATAATGAAAGTAAGTGAGGGTATAAAGGGAAAAAAATTATCATTCTGATATCTTGGGCAATCCGGAATTCAAATACCTTGTATATGTTGGGAATCCAAACCTTCCAATTTCAAGAATTGGATTCCATTTGTTGTGTGGGCCCCACACACTTTTGATTTCTCCCAATTTTAGTAAACACATGTATAATTTGTAATCGAAATCAGATTCCTTATTCTTATTCCGATTACGGGTTAGTAAACGCGCTATAAAAGTTGTAGGTTATTGTTTTCTACCAATCTTTGTATTCACTGTGAAGATAATGCAGAGTTTTTCAAGTTAACTTTACACCAAAAACAATGTCTTTATTTGTGGGGGGGGGGGGCCGGGAAGTAGCATTTTGCACTTAAACCCACCGGATCTCGCAATTCGGAGCGATAAATTGTGTAATTCGAACCATTCAAGAGAAGGAGATAGATCCACACTCTAGGGTTTTGTAAGATGACCAATGAAATGAACTAATGGAAGTTATATGATTGAAGGAGGATTCTCTCTTCTCCTAATCTCTCTTCCATTCCCTCCTCTCCTATTTGAACGGTCACGGTTAAGCCACATCAACATCTTATATTGATTTTTTTATAGAGACAATAAGACAAAGAGCACTGTGTGAGCAGAGGGAAGGGAAGAGAATGGAAATATGAGGGGAGAGAATTCTACTTTTATATGATTTGAAATGAATGATTCAGAGTACTTGGTCTGTCGCTCTAGACTGCAAGATTCGAAGAGGATCTTGATTCTTGAACTTCCTTGTTTCTTTAAACCAGTTAAAATTAAAAAATGAATACAAAACCCAAATTGCTGGCACCAAGATGTAGGGTTATCTTGGAATGCACCCAATATCATGTACAAAACTAGAATGAAGATGAATTCAAGCACAAATCAATTCTTCATTAGTCTGACATAAACATTACGGCAAGACTGTCGGATATTTGATGTGTTTGAGTGATGCTTTGGAATAATATACTTCAAATTATATTGCTCCGAAGTACTTCTAAACATGGTATATGCTTGGTTTACAAAAAAAAAACTGCACTGCTGAATTTTTATTAGATTTGTCCTTTGATTTCTAGCACGTTGATCAATTTTCTATGATAGAATGGTACGTTCGATCATTCGTGATCATCGATGTGAAGTAACTTGCATATATTTAAAGTATTCATTCTGAATTATTGTTCACGCAAAAACGAACGATCGGTACTTTTTTTCTTTCTTTTATTATCTGGTATACTTTCTAACATAAGGTCAAATTTTATACTAATTTCTTAGTATGCCTTTTTTCTCTCTTTATGCATATACTAATTTCTTAGTTAATGTGAAAAATTAGAGGACAATATTCCAATGTCTTTCATTTATCCTTATCAAATATAGCTCATAATGTGTCTCGCTTAGAGGATGATGTGGTTGAGTAATAAAAAGCTCGACTAATACATTGAGTAATAAATGTGTCATGTCGCTTCGACGAGTTGTTGTGGCTTTGTTATGTCGTTTCTTCACAATAATTATGCAGTAACTGTATAGAGTCACACTATACATAGATGGTGGTTAAATTATGAAAACCACAAAGTTGGATATCCAAAAGTGTGAGCATGTTTATTCTCCACGTAGGACTTAATTTGAAACCAAAGTTGTGGCAAACAGAGGCCTGAAATCTCAGAAAGCAATCTCTTTCACATATCTTCACACCTCAACTCCTCCAATCTTATCCCTCTCAGTTTCAGCCTGCTGCTGTGGGTCCTATCTAGCTTCTTTCCGAGTTCCTGGCCGATGGATTCCATTGTGCTGATGAGTGTAACGTCTAATCCAACGGATGGCACGGAGCCAAGTAAGATTAATATAAGTGGTAAAATTATTTCCACATAATGTTTTCGGAAAAAGGCATCAAGTCACTTCGAAAGAATCAATATAACATCTTTAGTTTGATCCCCACTTTGGTTTTAATTGTTGTCAGTAGTGAACTTGTTTCCATTTATACCCTTTGGAATAATAAGTACATACCTACCTAAATATTACCTGGACGGTCATATGCTAATTGCACTAAACATATATAATCACATAAATTATTATTTTCAGATAATAATGTATTAAATACTATTAAATCATAATACTAGTAAAAATTATGTTATAACTTTGAATTAAAGCTAGGTGGTTAATGAGTTCAAATATAGGTAGTGGCACTAGGTCTTCATTTTGTTGGAGTTGTCTGTATTTTTGTTTTTATGAAACGAAGAGTTGTATGTAATTTTTTTTTATATAACAAACGATATTATTTATTAAGGGAATGAGGAAGTGAGCTAAACCTAACAATGAGTTAGTAATAATGTAATTTAAAATTTTCCTTCGATAATAATCAAATTTAAAATCTCTAACTTACAAGAGTACTAAGTAACAAGAATTTATCTACAAAATGCAAGTATTATCTTTCATTTTTGGACGAAATCTTATCAACAAAAAAGCGGAATAGATGAATAGATGGGGTCCACACAAGGTTGAAGGGGAGTGTGGATAAAACGTGCGTTCCATTCCACCAATCAGAATGTAAAGCAATCCCAAACATACCAAAAGTCCGAACTCCCACACACAGAAGGAGAGAGAGAGAGAGAGAGAGAGAGAGAGTGAGAGGGTCAATTCTTTTGTATACCCACCAAAGTCTAAACCCACCCCCACTCCTCTCCCTTCTCCCCTCTCGAAACCAAAAATCCAAATCAAACGCCCGGCATTCCTTCCTTCCACTGCTCCAATCCTAATCCCAATACACACTTTTCCAATCTTTCACTCTTCTCGTTTTTTTTTGAGCGTTTGGAAACGCCGTCTGGTTTGGGTCAATGGCGATGTCGACCAGTTTCGCCGGAGCAAAGTTGGAGGCTTTGCTGTCATTGTCTTCGTCGTCGGCTGCCACGACGTCGTCCAGGGTCTCTACGGGTTCTTCTTTGGTGGGTTCTGTGAGGCCCATTAGGACTAGAAGGCTCCAAATTCAGAGAGGAGTGCGGTGCGAAGTGGCCGCTTCTTCTGATGCTTCTGCGGCGGTGGTTCAGTCTGTCGCTTCCAATGTCTCCGCTCTTGAGCAGCTCAAGACCTCTGCTTCTGACAGTACGTGTCTTTTTTCCCGTTAATGCGATTTTTTTTCTATTGAATTTATGAACTTTATTGTGTGAATTCTCTAATGGGTTTGTATTGGAATTGAATTTTCTGCTTGCAATTGTTGGTTTTGTGAATGTATTTGTTCTAAATAAGTGAATTCATGATGGGTTTTGGTGTATTTTTTATGGGGTTTTTTCCCCCATATATATGTGCTTAAATTTGGAGATTGTTTGGGTTTAGAATTGCGTCATAGAAAGTTTCTCACTTTCCCAAGCATCTTTTCGGTATGAATTTTGAGTACAAGAGAAATCACAACCATACAATGTTTCCGTAATCGTTGCGGTTCTGGATGTTCTTTGTTTTTAATCGTCGCGGTTCTATGATTCAGATGCTTTTGATGACCGTTGTTTGATTGTGTTTATTCGGATAATGTTCGGTTTGATTGTGTTCATGATTCAGGGTTATTTGCATACTTTATATAAGAACGTGTTTTGCGTACTGTTTTTTGTTTTTGTAATGTTGTCTGACTAAAGTTCCACAATTGTTCTTCTCAGGGTACACAAAGGAAAGAAGCAGCATTGTGGTCATCGGACTTAGTATTCACACAACACCGGTTGAAGTGCGTGAAAAACTAGCCATTCCAGAAGCAGAATGGCCTCGAGCCATAGGGGAGCTCTGTGGTTTAAATCACATTGAAGAAGCTGCTGTTCTTAGCACCTGCAACCGAATGGAGATATATGTTGTAGCTCTATCTCAGCATCGTGGTGTCAAAGAAGTTACCGAGTGGATGTCAAAGGTACTTTTTCTTTCTTTATATGTTGCTTTTGGCTTATGTTTTGTGGCATGGATTAATCAATCATCTTATTTGACATTTGAGAAAATGTTTGGTTTGTTTATTTTTAATTTATTTCTTTGAAACGAAAAATTACACTCAATTCCTTGTGGGTTATAGTTTGAGCTTGTGCGGTGTTTCCTTTCTCCTGCTCATTTCTTGCTCTAAAACATTACCTGACACTTTTTGCTTTTGTTTGCAGACGAGTGGAGTCCCTGTTTCTGAGCTATGCCAGCACCGGTTTTTACTCTATAATAACGATGCCACTCAGCACCTCTTTGAAGTATCAGCAGGTCTTGACTCTCTTGTCCTCGGAGAAGGTCAAATTCTTGCCCAGGTGAAACAAGTTGTTAAAGTCGGTCAAGGAGTTGTTGGCTTTGGTAGAAACATCAGTGGGCTCTTCAAGCACGCAATCACTGTGGGAAAGCGGGTTAGAACTGAAACTAACATTGCAGCTGGGGCAGTTTCTGTAAGCTCTGCTGCTGTTGAACTTGCCTTGATGAAGCTTCCTGCATCGTCACATGCTACGGCAAGAATGTTGGTGATTGGTGCGGGCAAAATGGGAAAGCTTGTGATCAAACACTTGGTAGCAAAAGGTTGCACAAAGATGGTTGTTGTGAATAGGACTGAGGAGAGAGTGGCATCTATCCGCGAGGAGCTGCATGGTATTGAGATCATTTACAAGCCTCTTACAGATATGCTTACCTGTGCAGCAGAGGCAGATGTGGTTTTTACTAGCACCGCATCAGAAACCCCATTATTTTTCCAAGACAATGTGAAGGACCTTCCTGCTGTAGGTCCAGACACTGGCGGTTTGAGGCTTTTTGTTGATATTTCCGTCCCCCGGAACGTGAGTTCATGTGTTGCAGATGTTGATGGTGCTCGACTTTACAATGTTGATGACCTTAAGGAGGTTGTGGCTGCTAACAAAGAGGATCGTCTGCGGAAAGCAATGGAAGCTCAGGAAATTATCACTGAAGAATCAAAACAATTTGAAGCTTGGAGGGATTCTTTGGAGACAGTACCTACGATCAAGAAATTAAGAGCTTATGCTGAAAGAATCAGAGCTGCAGAGCTCGACAAATGTTTATCAAAAATGGGCGACGACATATCAAAGAAAACAAGAAGAGCCGTAGATGATCTTAGCCGAGGAATTGTGAACAAGCTCCTTCATGGTCCAATGCAGCACTTAAGATGCGATGGGAGTGATAGTCGAACTCTGAGTGAGACCCTTGAGAACATGCACGCTCTTAACAGAATGTTCAGCCTCGAGACAGAAATATCTGTATTGGAACAGAAAATTCGAGCTAAGGTGGAACAAACCCAGAAGTAACGCTACAATGTCAAATTTCTTTCACGACACATCGACTTCCTCAAACTCAAATAAGGGGAAAACATCCTCACATTGTCATTTTCGTGTTCCTTCTTGTGTAATCTTCAACTCTATAGACAAATTGTGTTGGTCCTGGCTGGGGGATCTTCCAATTCATTCACTGGTGTAAGACACCGTAACATGATTTTTCTCTGGGAGTTGTTTATATGTCTACCACCACATGTTCGTAAGTGGCTGTTCGGCTTTGTATCGAAATTATGAGATATCTGTAATACTGTCAATTCCTGTAATTAAAAGTCATTTGTGATGAATGTGTATTGTAATTCATAATTTGGCGAAATTATTGTCCTGTTGTCTCTCATTAGTGAAACGCTGAAGGTTCCGATGAGGAGCCTTAGATGATCATCTAGATACAAGGTTCTAAAAAGCGTTAATGAAAATATAAAATGCAAAATAAAAGTCATCTATTTTTTGCCTAAGTGAGAGTCGTGACCTAAGCTCGTTAGACGGATGCCTGGGTAGGTCTAGGCGTCCTTTCTTAATTCTCATACACCTAAGGTTTAATCGGGACTGTGGCCAGCAATCTAGCGCCTAAGCAGATGCGAAGATTTTTAAAACAGTGCCTGGATAGCCTCTTCAAAGGTTTATTGCCCTACCTCAGTTAAGAAGGCTTAGAAATCAGGTCCATAATCTTCAGGAATCCTAATCCTTTGACTTCAACTCTAATAGTCGTAGAATTATCAGCATGACCACATTGCTATTTGGTACCTAAATGAAAAAACATATCTTCTTTTAAACGAATGGTATATCACACCATTAATATTTTACATGTTTTAGGATTTATTCAACAAATAAAAATATGAGAAAAAGTACACCATAAGTCTCATCTTGAATTGCCATTTAATACTACAGTCTGGTGGTATTTCTCTACATTTGTAAAAAAAAAAAATTAGGTTAGATTCTCGCCAAAAACGTATTTGAACCATATTATTGTTAGTCCATTATGAGACTAAGCTCACCTATTATCCTTAACGTAGATAATATCGTTTAAAAAAAAAAATATCTCATCTTGAATTAAAACTTGAAAATGAATGGACTAAACGTAAGTGAACGTAGTAGAATTTTCCACTATTATTATAAATGCGATAGACATTATTTTGAAGGACTAGATGACGGGATAATTCCCTAGTCTCTATCCGACTGTAGGTACTTCCGAGACAATGCCTTTTTCATCAGTGAAAACATAAACACGGTTGCAGCAAAAGTTGTCCAATCTAAGGAATCCAGGCTTTAAGATGAGAACTGTAACAGCTGGGTTGTTCTTGTTGATTGCTGCTGCGGCCTCCGACGCAGGCTTTCCAACTAGCTCAGGCCAAACATATTTGAATTCTGGAAACAGTAAAAACGATGTTCAAATTTGTAAGTTTGTGTTTGATATATATGTATAAAAAGTTAGAACCGCAAAGTGTTGGAGAAAGAGAAAGAACAAACCTTGACCACAACATGCAGCATTTGTACATCCTTCGCTGACACAAGGAGGGTAATGAGGCCAAGAAGCTCCTACCATTTTCTTTGATTTGTTATAGTTTGATGCATTTGATCTTCTTCCAATGTGTGTGTGTGTGTGTGTGTATATATATGTGTGTGTGTGTGTATGCACAAAAATGGTACGCTAATTAATAAAATATTCTCATTAAATTTGCAATAATTCAGATGAATTGCATTGATATTTTGCATTAATTCAGATGAATTGCATTGGTATATTTTTAGTAAAGGGTCCTATATTATTTGGTAGCTATATGAATTTGTTAATTTCATAAATTGATTAGAGAAATAAGATCAATTAGCTTACCGTTTTAAGGAACGAATGCATGCATTTGTTAGTTTTTTTTTGTCAAAGGAAATCAGATTGATTACCATCGAAAAAATTACACAAAGGTGACCCGAATACATAAGGAGATGAGGAAAGAGACCCACCAAGTAAACAAAAGACAGCTCAATACATAAGGAGATGAGAAAAGAGAGTTACGGATAGAGAAAGTGAATGAAAGGAATGGTGAGAGAACATGACCAAAAAAAAAAAAAAAAAAAAATTAAGATGGCGGAAAAACCACACAAGAGGTAGCAAAGGAGCCGTTGGCAAGAACATTATCCGACGGTTCAATGATTTTCTTAAAACTCATATCCCACTCGGTATTTAATCCTAATTTACCTTGTATTTTTATTCTATTCCTAGTCAGTTAATTAGTTTAAGCCGATCTCTTCAATTTGTTCATATGGTTTTAAGAGATAGTGAAGCCCATTATGTACTTATAGAACTTATATAAATGTGCTATAATGTAATGCTATGACTGAAGAATTGTGTTGTGGTGTAATTTTTAATACAATGGTATTTTCCTCTCATAATATTGAACGAGATCTTGAATTTGAATCCTCGTTTATAACCGATAAAAGAAATACTACAAACAACCATTTATTTTGCCAAAAAGAAGAGAAAATGCTAAAAAGAATTGCCGATCTCAACAACCATAATATCTCTTAAAATGATCTATTTTGTCACTCAAAAATCAAAAGCTACTTGTAACATCCCACGTCGCCCAGGGGAGTGATCCTTAAATGTACATTCTCATCCCTACCTAGCACGAGACCTTTTGGGAGCTCACTGGCTTCGGGTTCCGTAGGAACTCCGAAGTTAAGCGAGAAGAGGGCTAGAGCACTCCCAGGATGGATGACCCACTGGGAAGTTGCTCGTGAGTTCCCAAAAACAAAACCGTGAGGGAATGGTAAGCCCAAAGCGAACAATATCGTGCTACGGTGGTGGAGCGGGCCCGGGAAGTGATCCGCCCCGGGCCGGGATGTGACACTACTCATTTGTTCATTATCTTTCACGTATAAAAATAATGAGAAGAATGCAAAATGAGAAAACATAAGTGCGAAAATCTCCGTCCAACCGAAATAACTAAAAAAGCAACCAACTAAATCCACCCAAATGAATGTGCATGTATTGGTGCCTGGTGGGGTACATTTTTCACCGGCCTTGTCCCTATCAACTAAAAGTTGATAAAATGAAAAGAAAAAGTGCTTTTATTTTCCCTTTAAAAACAAGAACTAAAACCTAGCACTTTCAAAGCCGTGCAAGTCGCTCACTCTATTCAGCGACTTCTTCATGATCGCCACCTTAGCCAGCTTCTCAGCCGCTCTACAAGCCGAAATCGGTGTAAGCGGCTCCCCGTTTTCATCCACTACAGCGGTCGCCGCCACATCCCTTTCCACGCTGCCTCTCTGCCGTTGGATCATCTGCTGCTGCTCCTCCATGATCTTGTGCTGCCTTCTCCAATGCAGCGCTGAGAGCTCGGCTTACAGGCCGCGCACGTACTCGTCAGCCGATACTGAGCCGGATTTCATGAGCAGAGCCCGAGCCGATGAAAGCAAATGATGCGCACTAGAGTAGGCATTGTGCTCAACCAATCTCCGCGACCCGGCTACCGCTCGAGTTGTAATAAACAGCCCTCTCAGCCGTTCTTTGGGCCCGATGACGATCTCACGGTATCCGTGAGAGGCAGGAAAAGTGCCTGTTCTTTACCATACACAATCTCTTGAGTTGCAGGATCCTTGTTGGGACACCGGACGGACATTACGTGTCGGGATCCACGAACTCCTAGAGAGCGTGGAACCCGCAACTCGATTGACAAATTGTGTTGGTCCCGGCTGAGGGATCTTCCAATTCATTCACTGGTGCAAGACACCGTAGCATGATTTTTCTCTGGGAATTGTTTATATGTCTACCACCACATGTTCGCAAGTGGCTGTTCGGCTTTGTATCGAAATTACTGTCAATTCTTGTAATTAAAAGTCATTTGTGAGTAATGTGTATTGTAATCATAATTTGGCGAAATTATTGTCTTCTTGTCTCTCATTAGTGAAACACTGAAGGTTCCGATGAGGAGCCTTAGGTGATCACCTGGATACAAGGTTCTAAAAAGCGTTAATGAAAAAACAAAATACAAAATGAAAGTTATTTATTTTTTGTCTAAGTGAATCGTAACTTAGGCTCGTTGGGCGGGTGTCTTGATAGGTACACCTAAGGTTTAATCGGGATGGTGACCAGCAATCTAGAGCCTAAGCAGGGCTTAATCGGTGCTATGCGAATATTTTTAGAACAATGTATTTGAACTACATTATTGCTAGTCCATTTTGAGATTAAGGTCACCTATCCTCCTTAACGTAGATAATATCGTTTATCAAACAAAAAAAAAAAAAGAAAAAAAAAAGGTCTCATCTTGAATTAAAACTTGAAAAGGAATCGAATAAACGTAAATGGATGTACTAGAAATTTCCACAATTATTATAAATGCCATAAGAAGATAGACATATTATTTTGAAGGACTAGATGACGGGATAATTCTCGAGTCTCTATCCGACAGTAGGTACTTCCGAGACAATGCCTTTTTCATCAGTGAAAACATAAACACGGTTGCAACAAAAGTTGTCCAATCTAAGGAATCCAGGTTTTAAGATGAGAACTGTAACAGCTGGGTTGTTCTTGTTGATTGTCGCTGCCGCCTCCGATGCAGGCTTTCCAACTAGCTCAGGCCAAACATATTTGAATTCTGGAAACAGTCAAGACGACGTTCAAATTTGTAAGTTTGTATTTGATATATATATATATATATATATATATATATAAAGTTAGAACCGTAAAGTGTTGGAGAAAGAGAAAGAACAAACCTTGACCACAACATGCAGCATTTGTACAGCCTTCGCTGACACAAGGAGGGTAATGAGGCCAAGAAGCTCCCACCATTTTCTTTGATTTGTTGTAGTTTGATGCATATGACCTTCTTCCATTATATATATACATATATATATATATGCACAAAAATGGTACGCTAATTAATCAAATATTCAAATATTCTCATTAAATTTGCAATAATTCAGATGAATTGCATTGGTAATTTGCATTAAATCAGATGAATTGCATTGGTATTTTGCATTAAATCAGATGAATTGCATTGGTATATTTTTAGAAAAGGGTCCTATATTATTTGGTAGCTAAATGAATTGTTAATTTCACAAATTGATTAGAGAAATATGATTAATTAGCATTTTTTAGTTTTTTTTTTTTCTTTTCTTTTCTTTTTTTTCTTTTTTGGGGGCAAAGGAAATAAGATTCATTACCATCGAAAAAATTACACAAAGGTGATCCAAATACAATAGTAAGCACAAAGCAAAGGAATAGACCCACCAAGTAAACAAAAGACAGAGCTCAATACAGAAATTGAAGTCCAAATCAGAAAAACCCTAACAGCAG